GTTAATTATTTTACAAAACTAATGCACAACGTTCTCGTATGAGTATCTTTTTTAAAAAGAATTGACATTTAATACTGTTTGATCCAGGCTCTTCAACGGGTATTATGTCTTAGAAGGTATAATGGTAGTGTAAGGTTTGTGCCTGCACCTGGTCATGAAGGTCAAGGAGAGCCCACTGAACCTATGGAATTTTATTTGAGTGATGGTGGCCCAAAAGGTGGCTATACTGGGCCCAATGTTGATTTGCAGAATTCAAACTGGAGGAAGATTGATGGGCCTTTCATATCAGTCTGGCTTCACAATGTACCCTGGGGTGCTGAAAATACTATGGCTGCACCTGATGCCATGGTAGGCTTTAGTTTGTTCCATAGTAACTTTTCCATGAACTATATTTCCTTTCAAAAGTAATAATTAGTGAATAGTGACAAAATCCATATTACACTTATACCTTCGAATTTATTGGTTCATTCTCTGATAATTCCAACATGTAATACAGTTTTCCGATGGATATTTGGACATGGTTTTGATTAAGGATTGCCCGAAGTTAGCCTTGCTATCAATGCTGACTGAATTAAACAACGGATGCCATGTCAAATCCCCTCATGTGTTGTACTTCAAGGTAAAAGTTATATTTGCATATGCCTGGCTGCACTCTCAATTGCAACACATTATGCAGACCCGTTTGGCCTTGTTTGGATGATTCCCCGGAACCCATTGTTCAATAGTTGGTTGAGCGCGTTTGTTTTTTTTTCATATCTTGCTTCCCACCTCATAGAAATGGATTATCTAGTTTTGAGTGAAAGTAAGACCTCGCACTAGGGAAACTGAAATATTCTCTTTGGTTTGGTGAAGGTGGGAAGCTAAACCTTGTATTTTTAATGACCGGGGAGACTGAGAATTTAACTCTTAGTACTACTAAACATGCTCTTAAGGTAACATTTGGATAGGCAGTCCATTCTTGGGAATCCCTTTACCCATTAGTTGGTGCTCAAACCTATGCATAATATGGTAACATTGCAAGTGCAGAATAACAGACCCAGTTTTATTGAAGAAAATGGCTTTCTTGATTTGAAATGGGAACATAATCTACATTTCATTTATTGGTTGCATCAATAATAGGTCAAGGAATTTGTTTTGGAGCCGGGTCCAAGAGCAGAGGATCCATTCAAGGACGGGATCATTGATGTCGACGGTGAGGTTCTTGCTAGAGGTAGAAGAACATATAAATGTGAAGAGAAAACCTTAATGACTTATGACAAGCTTCATATTAGAATGGATCAAGGGTTGGCTACTATTTTTTCTCCTATTTAGTATTTCTTGTTGTGGTTACTGGGCTAGCTTTTTTCATTCTTTCACGATTTATTATTTGTTTGCAAATTTGTGAAACTCTTGTTTACAAAAGATGGTAAATGCGTACAAATGAATATTACACCAAGTAAAAAATTACTTCTTCCTCGAATACATCATGAATTATCGACCCATAATGCTACAATGCTACCTCTTCCTTTGTTGATCCAATTATCCAAAGGTTCAGACTAGGAATTTGTCGAGTTCGTATATTATACATCTGGCTGTACGGTGAACATAGTACAGCCGGCCCAACAAGGAAAGTAACAGGCCAAGGAAAAAATAACAAAATAATTCGGTGGCATTTTGTAATTAATGTGAAAATCGTGATTTTTGCGAAATGAATATTAGTGTACTGTTAATGAGCATTAGTCCAATTTTAATGAGCACTGTGTTAGTACAAAAAAGCTAATATCATAACTAAAAAACGGTGGAATTTTCGTAATATCAGTGAAAATCGTAGTTTTTGTTAATTAGATGAGCATTAATACACTTCTAATGAGCATCAGACGTATTCTATTGAGCATTAAGATCGAATAATGAATATCGTGATATCAATTTCATATAGGCTTAAATATGTTTTTGGTCCTTGTAATTATAACTTGTTTTGATTTAGGTCCTTGCAAAATAAAAAATTTGTTATTAATCCCTGAAATTAGCACCGTTATCTCTTTTCATCCCCACCATTAACCCCGTTAAATAATCTGACATGGCTGTTGAACCCATTATGAATTATACATTTCAGCACTCATACTAGAAAAAATACTACGTGTATCATTTCAATTAGTTAGAACTTAGAATTGCACAACACCCTCTTTGAGTCTTGAGTCCAGGTATTGGAGCACTGAAAGAGGTACAACCGTAGAAGTGTAGGAATCACTGAACTTCACCGCCGCTTAACCGTTACAAATGATGATTTCATCTCCTCTGTGCCGGCCGCTGTTCTCACCTGAAATGTCTCTACACTACAAGCAAAATATCACTGGAATCATGTAAAAGTTAGCTCCGAAAAATCAATTTCTTTGGGTGAAGCTCTATGCTGGAACCGGCATGTGATAAAAACAGGCCCGGTCCTGACATTTTATGGGCCCGGGACAATACAAATAGGCTGGACCTCAGGGATAGCACGAGAATGTTTATAATGTTCTTTTTGCTATAAAAATCTACTAGTATAATTTAAATTTATACAATATTACCGTCAAAATACTAGTATAACACATAAAAAAACCAACAAAGCATGTGATTAGAAAATATATATAGAGGGTATTGAATTTATTGATAAGTGACATTCGATGATACAATGTACCTCACAGCCGAGTGAAACAAGTATTGCAACTATATATTAGGCACAATAAAAATTTTGAATTAAAGAAAGTTGTGAAAGTTATATCTTGTATAAGGAGTAACTATTTCATATTTTAAATCACATTTTCACTAGACAAAAACAAATTCTAAGTTTCTAAATTAGGGACACTAAAGTTCAATCTTTCACTAAAGAGAGCATTGGAGGAAATTTGTGAAATACATCAATGAATTCTGGATATACATAAGACATGTACACTAAGTCACTAAAAGATTAAATTTAATGTAATAATCCGTAATGATTCAAAAGAAATGGTGAAATATGTTCCCAATGAATTCTAATGTAAATGTTTCTAAATTATAGACTTGTATCGTGTAGATGGTAAATAACAAATTAGAAGTATCTAAAAATATAAGTTTGATTTTAATTTTTATTTTTTATGGATTTAGGATGTATATATAATTAAAATATTTATGTACACATATGTTTGAGAAATTTATGGGCCCTACTGGAGCAAAAGGCCCTGGGCGCATGCCCCTCCTGCCCATGCCCCAGGACCGGCCCTGGATAAAAACTCTTGAAGAGACACCGAAAGTCGCCGGCGAACCAGTCGTCCATTCCAATCCGGAATCAAAGAAGGAAATAATTTCTGACTTGGAGAAGATGAGTTGGGAAGAAGAAGAGTTAGGAAAGAGGATTTGAACCGCACATAGAACTATGGAAGACATGATGAGAACGGAGTAATTTTTTAGGGGATAAGGGTCAGTTTGGTCCTCGAAGTTGCAAAAAAGGGGTCAAATAAGTCCTTATAAAGAAGATTCTGTCCGGACGTGCCATTTGAGGTGCCTTCCGGTGGAATTTTTTTATGAAAGTTTTTGACCATCTTATTCATTAAGTCTAGTTTACTCATACCAAATTTGAGATAAAAATTCAATCGGGAAGACATTCAAATGATTTTTTGAAGATAACTGTGCCGTTATAAGCGCAGTTATCTTCAAGAATTCATTTCAATGTCTTCTCGATTGAATTTTTAGCTGAAATTTGGTATGAGTAAACTAGATTTAATGAATAATATGCTCAAAAAAATTTATCAAAAAAAACCACCGGGAGCCACCTCAAATGGCACGTCTGGACATAATCTTCTACATAAGGACTTATTTGACCCCTTTTTTGCAACTTCGAGGACCAAAATGACCCTTTACTCAATTTTTTAGCATTATTATGGAATGAGTTGGAATTTGGAAAATAAATTAGGTGCATCATTATACATTTATACTCCCTATATCTCGATGATGAGTGCTGACATGAAATAATTATTAATGGCGTTTAACACCAATGCCAGCCTTCTTAACAGAAGTTAATGGCCAGGGATGAAAAAAGATAACGGTATAAATTATAGGGATTAATAACAAAAATTTTATTTTGCAGGGACTTAAATCAAAACCCGTTATAATTACAAGGACCAAAAACATATTTAAGCCTTTCATATATTGTAATTCAATTTCTTTTAGTTATTTTTTCTTTCATAAAAACTTATTAAATTATATCTATAATCAATTCCTATCAATTTCAATATGCGAATCTAATGTAAAATGATAAGTTTAAAATAAACATTGGTATGACATTTCAAAATGAGCATAACATCAGTACCAAATGAGCATAAATAACTTTCAAAATGGGCATTGATATGAAAATAATAAGCTTTGTTAGTTGATCATCAAGACATTTTCATTGAGCATCAAACTTTTTCTATTGAGGATTAAAAGTATGCAATTGAGTACCATAATCTCTACTCTCGTGTCTATAATCAACTCGATCTCATAGGAATCTAATGTAATATAGTAGTTTTAAAATATGCATTGATATGACATTTTATAATGAACATAAAACCAATGCCAGATGAGCATACATAATTTAAAAATTGAGCATCAAAATGTTCAATAGCTTAATTGAATTCTCTAATGTGTTCTGATATTCATTCGTATATGCTCATTTCTTTTAATTGTTATACTCATTCGAATATAACATAAACTCCTTTCTATAATGTGTACATCTAGTAGATGCGTTATTAACGATTTAATAAACTCTCATTATATATAACAATGAGAAACATAAAAGTGTTATATTAAAAATAATTTATAGTCTTTTGTTCTTAAATAACAAATATAATCGTGTTGTTTTTATAATATTTACTCATGCACATTTATTTTACACTATACTCATTTTAGTATAACACAAAACTCATGTTAATAATTAACATATACTAAGTAATATTTAATAAACTAACAAATATTCATCTTAAATTTAAAATAGAAGAACAAAGCATTAATACGTAATGTTTTTTATAATGCACAAATTAAAAAAACTTAAGTTAGAAGGTTGATTGGAAAAAGAAAATAAATAAAATATGCAGGTATATTAAATAATACGGAGTATTTTATATTTACATATGTTTTAAGAAATAAAGCAAAAGAAGGTTAAAGCACACAGAAAGAAAACGGAAAAAGCAGAAGCCAGGACTCAGGATAGGTGCTTTGTATTTTGTCTACAAAATACAAAGCATATAATTTGATTAATTGTGAATTGAGGATTCCATAATTTCAATATTGATAACCACATAGAGGTTAGAAAATACATAGGTATAATAAAGTATAAAAAAGTTAGAAAATACATAGATATAAATTTTTTTTTTTATAATTTTTTATAGTAAAGTATAAAAAATTGGGGCCCCTAATTTTTCCAATTTTTGGGGCCCTGAGACATGGGCCTCTCCAGCCTCGCATAAGGCACGGACATGTTCTAGAGTATCTGATACGGGAACGTTTCCGATACGTCGATACGGTACCCCAGTGAAGTATCCATTTATGGGGTTATGGGACTAGGCCCAAATCCCAGTCGGCCCAAGCCCCGAACTTAGACCCACGAGTCCAAGTCCACAGTCTGGACTCTGGAGTCTGCCCACTAGTCTAGTCGGGAAGTCTGCCTACCAGCCCGACGGAGAGGGAGCTCAAGTGTCAGGCCTGCCAACCAGGTTGACCCGCTAGTCAGGAAGAGTGATGGTCAAGCAATTAATGCACTTTTAATTATGTATTTAATTCCACATTAATGTTGTAATTAAAGAGTCATTATTATTGATAGCAATTACAATTTGTAAACGCCTATAAAATGCAAGTCATATTCAAATGGTAGGAGATGCTATTTTTGACAACTAAACTTCCCTTGACTACTTTCCATTTTGGTTCTTACTATTTCCTTCTAGGGTGTTCTATCGTAGGTTTCCCAAAAAGCTTACGAGCGTCCATTTTTTGACCAACATTGGTGTTTTCATTGAGAGCCTCTATTGTCTCTTACATCACTTTAGTAGGAGTCACACACGAAGATGGCTGGAATCTCATCCCGACGTGGCCATGTTTGAGAAGATGATGAACAATGAAGTTGTGAGAAAAATGGTGGAAGAAAATGAAAGTTGCTAGCAATTTTTTGACCTATCCGAGCCTAGCATCTTGGTTGGTCTATTCAGAATACCAAACACTTCCTGCAAAGCATGATAGATATTTTGAAATCATATGAACTCATAGAATTATTCTACACGTTTATGAATAAGGCGTTTGATAGATTATCATGGGGATTCCTCTCTAAGGTGCTTCAGGTCTTTGGCTTTGGTAATCATTTTATACATCTTATTATGAATAATCTCCAGGCCACTTTCCTATCTATTCTAATCAATGCTACCACCCAAGGATTTTTCAAGTCTACAAGGGGTGTTAAGCAAGGGGATCCTCTTTCCCCCTTTCATTTTATTTTAATTGGCATCTGAGTCCTTTTCAAGAGGGTTGAATTGTTATATTTCTAAGGGTCTTTTTGGATGGGCAGATATGGGAGGCCAGTCTCACATCTAGGGTTTGCTGATGACCTTCTTATCTTTATCAATGGAGACTCCAGATCACTCACTAATTTCAGTAGATTTCTCACCCTTTATCAAGACTCTTCTGGTCAAGCTGTGAACCTTGAAAAAAGCTCATTTGTCAGTGGTAAACATGCTTCTTATAGGAGCCAGGCCATTAAGGATCTGCTGGGAATGCAGAAAACCTCCCTTCCCCTGAAATACTTGGGTGCCAACCTACATAAAGGGATAAACAGACATCAGTATTGTCACGAGCTTATCCAACAATTTGACTCTAGATTGACTACCTGGAAGCAAAAATCTCTCAATGGGGGGAAGACTTATTTTGATTAAACATGTTCTGGGAACTATACCACTACATCATCTTGCTGTGGATATCCTGCCAAGTAAGATTAAGGGAATCTTAGACAAAAAGATGTCTAATTTCCTTTGGGGTTCTTCTAACAATAAGCCTAAATATCACTGGGTCAGTTGGGCCAAGTTGTGTTACCCTAAGGAAGAAGGTGGACTTGATATTACATTTGGTGATATGGAAACTGCTTTCTCCTTAAAACTTTGGTGGAAGTGGAATACTAAGTCATGTTTTTGGTCCTATTTTATCAAGTCCAAATATCCTAGAATTGATGACATGAGACCCAGGATTTCTGATTCACCAGATTGGAAGAGGGTTTGCTCAGTTCGTGATTTGGCATGCTCCCTGACAGATTTTCCAGCCTCTTCAGACTCCCAAGCACCTCAGCATCTGTCTTGGAAAGGCTCTAGCAATGGTCAGTTTACATTAAAGTCAGCCTATCATTCAGTTAGGAGTTCTACTGGATCAACCTTTTCCTACAAACACATTTGGCACCCTTAAAATTCAATTATTTCAGTGAAAACTTTTCAGAGGAATTTTACCTATTTATGATAACCTCAGCCGTTTTAGGAAGGTTATTCAACCATCTATTTGCCCTCTGTGTAGAAACTATGGAGACACTATTACTCATATTTTCTTGAGATGCGGTTTTTCTAACTCTATTTGGAGCTATTTTAGCACTTTAGCAGGATCATGAACATTCCCCATTTTACTAGCTCACACTCAATTCGTGGTACTTTTTTGGGTTAGTGGTTTGAGGCTGGTAGCAAAAATCTTATTGATATTTTTAAGAATAATCTACCAGGGATAATTTGCTGGTTCATCTGGAAGCTTTATACTGAGCTCATATGGGGCTCTTGTACTGTTATTCCCAATTTTGAGAATACTATTTGGCAAATTAAGCTCTACATTCAGAATTGGGCTATTGGCATGTCTAATTTAAGGCTGTGCAGTATTGATTGGGTGTTATTTGAGGAGGAGCTTATCCCTAAGAATTTTAGACTTAATCAGAGGCTCATGAAACCGATTCGTTGGAATAAGCCAGTTACATGTTTCAAAATGAACGTGGATGCTTCGTTTATACATGGAAATGCTTCGGGAGGGGTTTTACGAAACCAGACGGGCGACCTGATTAGGGCAATTGCTTTTCCTCTCTATGCGTCTTCTCCCATGGATGCCGAACGGCTTGCTCTTATGACTGCAACTAGGTGGGCGTTGGAAGAAGGTTTCCATGGTTTCCAGGTTGAGTCTGATGCTGAGGCGATTCAGAGGTTTTTCTCAGGCAAGACGCTCGTTAGTGGTGAGGATATTGTTGGCTTTAAAATTATTTCATGGTCTAATTTACCCTTATGTAAATATATCACAACCCATCGCTGCTTTAATTCATCCAAGTAGGTCTTTGTCTTAATCATCGATCGCACAATACACCCGCTGCCACCAACCATTCTCGCACCTCCCCTCATTCAAATTTGCCTTCTCGAAGAATTGGAGTAGAACTGTCAAGTTGTTTCTTCTGACCTGCTTCAAATTGTTGTTTCTAGCATTTGAATATGTGTTGCAATCAACACGGTTTATCAGTAGTCATCACCTCTCACTAATTGCAGTAATCATGGAAAGTGTAAGATTCCAATTCCCTTCATGTTTATAAGTAATGATAAAAACATGCAGTGATTCAGAGTGTCCAAATACACCTTTTTTCATGATTCTAGAATAAAAACCTGCAGTAATCATGTTGAAATATTGGTATTATAGGGGATCATGATTCTATTTCCATTTATTATGAGTGTTTAATTTGCAATTTTTGTTGATACTAGAAATAACTATTCTATCCACTAAATTTCATAGTTATAAATTGTAATTTTTGTTGGGTCATATTAAATGGTGTTCATCATCTCTATTGTAATGGTCAAGCCATTAACAAATATCTCAGCTTATTACTTCTCATGTCATGACTCATACCTTTGTCTATCCATTTTAGCTTAAAAAAGAGAACACAGATGACATGAGCAGTGCAGAACAACAAGATGTCAAATCACAGGTATATCTTATTAATAGTGAAAAATCAACTTATTTTACCATATTTCTTAATTGCTTCTTCCCATGACAGGATTTAAATTATGCAAATGACTTGGATTTGTGGAGTTCCGTTGCTGCTTTTTCTACGGATAAAGTAAGTAAATCATCATGTAATATATATGGTATATGGTTCAAAATATGTATATATATCATATAATTGAAGTAATTTACATTGCAGGTATTTAACAGTAAATATGAATTAATTACATGGGCCAGAGAAACTGGGAAGAACACAGGTTATGTAATTGTGATTGTTTTTTCTTCATCGGGAGATGATGGGAAAAAAGCGAGACTACGACTTGGCTGTGAACGTGGTGGGACTTACAGAACTCCTAAGAAACTAATTAACAAAGAGGCACGACGTCGCAAGGGGACAGGAACAAAAAAAAATGGGTGTCCATTTAAGTTACAGGGCGTGAAATTAGAAACGGATGATGATTGGGAAGTAAAAATTCAGTGTGGATATCATAATCATCCACCTGCAGAAAACCTTGAGGGTCACGCTTTTACCGGGAGATTAAGTAAAGAGGAGAACACCATACTCTTAGATATGACGAAAAATATGGTCAAACCAAGAAACATACTAGTGACTATAAAAGCGAAGGACAAAAAGAACACAACTACAATGAAGACGATATATAATGCTCGTCACAAACATAAAATGCTTGAGAAAGCTGGAAGATCACAAATGCAGCAACTTATGAAAAGATTGGGTGATTTTGGGTATGTGGAATGGCATAGGAGAAACGAGTCAACTGACTGTGTAAGAGACTTGTTTTGGGCGCACCCGTTTTCTATAGATATTTTGAATGCCTTTCCGTTGGTTTTACTTATGGATTGTACTTACAAAACAAATCGATATGGTCTTCCGCTATTAGAGATTGTAGGTGTGACATGCACAGACCTTACTTTTTCAGTAGCTTTCGTCTACATGGAAGCTGAGCGTGAAGATAACTACACATGGGCAATGGAAAAATTAAAAACATTGATGATATCAAGTACCATGCCTAGTGTAATTGTGACCGACAGAGACTTGGCGTTTATGAAATCTGTTAAGAAAGTCTTTCCTGAAACAACAAATCTTTTATGTAGGTTTCATATCTCAAAAAATGTCCTTGCCCATTCAAGAAAGTTGTTTGAACTCAAAGAGGATTCTGATAAATTCATGGCAGCCTGGAGTGTTCTTGTATTCTCTGCAAATGAGAGTGAGTATGCTAGAAACTTATTTGCTATTGAAAGTGACTACGAAGGTTATCCAAGTCTTCTCAAGTATGTGAGGGATACATGGTTACTTCCATATAAAGAGAGATTTGTAGCAGCTTGGACCGACAAAGTTATGCACTTCGGCAATTTGACAACGAATAGGTATTATTATCATGCTCTAAACTATTTTAAGAGTTTCACGCTTTGCAATTTTCTTAAATACATAGAAGTATAGAACTTATACTATTATTCTCTCACTTGTGCAGAGCCGAGTGTGACACCGCACCCGAATGTACTTGAATTTGAAAGTGGATATGTATTGAATTTCCTAACGAATAAAAATTCGTGTAATTAATTGGCATATTTAATTAATGTGCGATTAATCAAATTATTTATCGGGTCCATTAAATGTGAATGGGCTACCAAATATTTAGTTGGGCTATCATAAAAATCATAGGGGGTCCAATAAAACGCCAACCGAAGTTGATAAAAATATTTGGACAACCCGGGTGCTATTTTGATCCGACCGGCCCGAAATAGCGGGAATAATTGGGAGGAACTTTCTACCCCATTCGGGGTTTTTCCTACAAGATTTGTGGACTCAAAATAATGAGTTGAGACAAGGAAACATGGGGAGGGGCGGACTCAATAGGGGAGGGGATTGCACAAGACAAAACCCACTCACCCCATGCCATATCCCACACATTATTGTGTTGGTTGAGATAGACATCTCCCCTACTCCCCTTGCAATCATTCGGCCAACACAAGGAAGAGGAGAGCTCTAGGAAACACTCTCATTGAATCCAAGGTTGAAGGAAGAACCAGCAAAGGAAATCCAAGGTGTTAGGATTGGAGGTAAGAACTTATATAGTCCTTTAACTAGTTTATGTTGTATGATTTTAAGAAATCATACGACGGATTAAACATGAGTTTTACACGTTTAAAAGTGTAGAATAATGTTATAAAGTGGTGGTATTTAACTTAGAAGAGTCGTGGAATCGATAGGAGTTGAAACCACCGGAAACCGCCAAGAAGGAGGAGCTGTTCGTGGTAGCAGACCACGAACGTCGCCCGGCTTTCACGAAAGCCGCCCGGCTTTCACCTTCTGTCCAGACTTTCCACTCTTGATCGGTTTAAAACGGGGATCGATCGAAGGGCTTATCAAAGGCAACTAACCCAGCACTTCATAAGGTGAGGATGGCTGACTATGTTGTTTATAATCTTTGGGTTAATTTCGTAAGATTACCTAAAGTAATTAAATGTTATTTTCATGGATTATTAATGATTAATAATGCCAAAATGAAAATATTGTTGTCAATGAATAAAGGAGCATAATATACAAATTTAAGGATAAATTGTGTATGATTATGTAATATGAGTATATTGGTTTGATGAAGGGATTAACTATGAATATTATGTTGAAATATAATTTTAACTTCATATAAGGATATATGAGTGATTAAAGATTATATTTTGTATATTGATATGAACTATATTTTCAATGGAAAATTAGTTTGAGAATTGTCTATATGACTATGAACTGAAATGAGATTTTGTTGGAATTTATCCGATTAGTATAATGATACTAGTCGGGGTTTTGGAATGAAATATGTTAGAATTGATCCAAGGTTTGGATTGTAAATTGTTGAGCCTTAAGTAGTCTTAAGAGATACTAAGGTGGATAAGTGATGCTAGGGGTAGTCCTTAAGGGATACCCAAGATAAAGTGAATAATAAATTGATCCTAGGAATAGGATTGGCCTACGGGTGTATTCGGTAGTCTTTAAGGATTAGCCGATAGAGTATTGGTAATTAGTAAGGACCATGGCCCTTCCCGACTCTAGAGAGCGGGGTTGGATAGCATGGACTTACATCGTGATCACGGGTTAGGGTGGAATCCGAACCGGAGACCTTACGAGGCTCCCGACAGCGGTAACACATAAGATAGGACCCCGAATGGACCTTACCTTCCTACGGGACGATGGGTATGAGTTCAGGGGCGGGATGTTGGACTCCGGCCCGGGGACCCGGTGAGGCCTCGGAGAGCGGTGACAAGTCTCGTAAAGGATGATAAGACCTACGGGCGGTGTCGTGCTAACGACGGGTATAATGAAATATATGAAATGGGCCGTGTGCCGACAAATAAATAAATTTACTTATTATAGAGATAATAAGTGGGAAATATAAATTATTATTTATATTATGATATCACCCTATTTTGAGGGTCTTAGAAATTGAAACATTGATTATACTTGGTATAGTTGTCATTGTACTTGTCAAATGCTTCCAAGTACTGACCTCCCCTTCACGGGGGAGGCCACCTCACAGTTTCAGGTAGGGAGTAGAGCCTGCTACCAGTGCCCGTTGCCTCGGGAAGATCTAGGAAGGAAGACGTGGTTCGTGCTTCCTCCGTCTCTATTTAAAAAACATTTCAATTAATGCTCATGGATATTTTTGAATGATTATTGGGGCTTGTATGCCCATGTTTGCCGAAGTGTGGCATAAACACTTGTATTAAACGTTTCCGCTGATTTCAATTGATTATTTTACATTATGTTTGTTTATGGATGTACTATTGTGAATGATATTCAAGACGCCTAGTATAGTATGGATGAGTTGGACTGCGGTTGACTATTCGTACTGTACGGCGGGTTGTGGACGTGTCCGGTAGGTCCGGGGCGTGACACCGAGAGTGCACATGCAAAGTTAAAAACATGGCTTGGGTCAAGTCAACTAGATTTTGATTGTTCTTGGAACCTAATCAACTCTTTACTTGAGTTGCAACACACTGAAATCAAAGCTTCATTCCAACACAGTTTGAATGTGGTGGAGCATAATTTCACGCCTTCATTGTTTAGAAACTTGAGAGGATTAGTTTCTAGAAAAGCACTAAATTTGATTCTGACAGAGTCCAAAAGAGCAAAAGATATTGAGGGTGACACTGACTTATGTGGGTGTGCCATCAGAATCACTCACGAATTGCCTTGTGCACATGAAATTGCTAAGCATGTAAGACATTGTAACCCCATTCCTCTTTCAGATATTCACCCTCATTGGATGCATTTAAACTTGAAAGAATATAAGACCAGTGAAAATGTGGCTGAGGTGAGTATTGATTTTGAGATGAACTCAATATGGTCAAGATTTTATGCTTCTAATCATACAGGAAAGTTGGCATTGAAAAGAAAGTTAAGAGAACTAGGTGACCCGACAACTACATTCCTTACTCCACCATCTGAGAAACCTAAAACAAAGGGTCGTCCTTCGTTGAAGGCAACAGAATCAACTCGACGTGATCCATCGTACTTTGAAATTGTTGAATCAGAGGTATTATCAAGACAGGATGATGAAGTAAAAGAAAATCTTGTTGTAGCTCAAAAGAAGAAGAAAGTTGTTGTAAAAAGATTCAAATCTCTTGAAAAACAATTGGATTCTTTTCCATCATATTTACATCCATATATCTTAGACGTAAATGATGTCAAACCAGATGGTCATTGTGGTTTTCGTGCCATTTCTGCTTTATTGGGTTATGGAGAGGATAATTGGTCAAAGATACGTGAAGACTTAATTGAAGAACTATGCAATCACAGATCATATTATGTTAAATTTTATGAATCACTGGAACTTGTTGCTAAATTGCTTGAAGAACTGTCGTGTTTTGTAGTTCCAGCCCCATACAAGAATTGGATGACTTTACCAGACATGGGTCATTTGGTTTCCTCTAAATATAATGTGGTGCTAGTCTTTCTTTCAAAACAAGCATGTAACACATTTCTCCCTCTTCGATCTACTCCACCAGCACAACAACATCATAAAGTCTTAGTGATTGGATTTATAAATAACAATCACTATGTCCAGGTACGTACTCATTCGGTACTTTACATCTAAACATTGATATTACATCTTGACAGTTAACCTGGATTCATATAAAATGATTGTAGGTTTCTCTTGATCCTAATGCGCCAATACCACCCATTGTTCCTCATTGGAAACGATTTCGGCTTGATTCTGCTATAGGATGGGATACCCCATATTTATCCCGTATTAAGGAGTTCAATGACATTCTATCCGCACAACCGAATGTTCGTAGGGATGAAGTTATTATCTTAGATGAGTCATAGTATGTGATATATTATTCTTTTATGATTAATCTACAATTAACACGAGAATCCCAATTCCCAATTAACTAATTAATCTACATTTATTTTTCAGGTTGAGAAGGTAATGTGTCAGGAGGACAAGTTTGGAATAGCGCTGGAAGAAGATAGCACTAATGGAATTTTAGTAGTTAAAAAAGATGCATATTGAATTTATAAATGTAAAGAAAAATTCATTTGTTTCAATTTTTTGCATTAATAGTATTTATCAAGCTCAACAAATTGTGGTACGTATGTTTTGGTGTTTTCATTACTTACTTCATCACTTTTTTTAATCTTATTCTAATTTTACTAGGGTTGTGTAGTTTGTATGAGGATCTAATTTTCTAAATATTTACTCTGCATTCAGTAACACATAATTATATAAAAATTCAGATAGTGAATCTGTAATGTGTTGTTACAATGAAAATGAAAATTAAAAAAAAAAAACAGGACTCACGCTAGTTTAAATAGCAAGTTGCATAGAGTAAAAGAAGAAGTCTCAAGACAGAACATACCGGTATATTGGTATTTGCATCACTGCTAGCCTTTTCTTTCTCAGCAACAAAGCTTTTTGTTACATTAATATCTGCCAAACCACGAACTCTACCAGCTTGCCTATATCAAAATTTCAACGTTTAGCAAAGATCTGTGTACCAAGAACTAAGACAGAATCTAAAATAAAAGGCCCATGTTCATTGCTAGAAAAAAATCACCTCACATGCCTTAGGCCATCAACACCATTCTTTCTAATTTGCTCCTCCTCCCCATTATTCAACAACTCAGAAATGCTAAACTGGTGCAATCTTCGGTATGTCTTCTGTTATTGCTGAAGCAATTCCATGGATTTCTTGTGCTCAACCTTTAGCGGTTCTATCTCAATTTCACTTGCTGCAAGATAATCTTGTTTCTGTTTTCATATAGAGAGCATAAAAACTGCAGTATTAAGCATTCTCGAATGTAATCCTCAAAGTTTCATATTTGAAAGCATAAATAGCATTTGAAGGCATAAATGGCGAAAAAAAAGACGACCAAAATACATGTGAAGAGCAATTCAATACCAAAATACCAACCTCAAATTCACTGAAACATCAAGTTTTAGAGTCATCAAAGCTTTTCCCTTGACCAAAATTATGAATAGTAAAAAATTAAACAATTAACAAGTCTTTGAAACAATTAACAAGAATAGTAAGAGACCAATTCAACTTTATAAAAAAGGAGAAATTTTGATAGTGTAACAAACTGCTGGAAGGAACTTTAGCACTTCTAGGATTTTACACATCAATTCGTACTGACATTAAAGAAATGTCAACAATTAATTTGATATATACTATGCTCTGAATGTGCACAAGACATGTATGATATAGCCACCATTTAAGACTAGATAATCTAATTGAAATGATTAATACCACCTGA